CCCCCAAATGCATTAAAACTAAAATTTTTACATGCAGCCAAATGCCTGCACCCTTTTCTGCTTGCGTTTTCCTGTACCGGTTCAGATCCCCCACCCCACCTTGATCTCAGATGAGCTCCAGGACCAGTGTGTTACCCATTGATCTTATACATGGACTGCATGCATTGAAGGGCAAAAATCAGGTCTTGCATAGTATGGTGAGCTGCTTTTATGTTATTTATTCAAATGAGAGTTCTAGTACTTAAAGTCAACCTGACCTGCCCTAAAATATTTCTGAAGGCAACAGTTGTAAAGTGCAGGTGTCCTGTAGCAGCTGAAGTGTCTCGGTTTAATTAAAAACGAATTACAGTGTCCCTTTTGAGGTCCTTCAACCCTGGATTGTACATGGGGCCTCAGTTTATGCCCAAGTAAAGATTGAAGCACATGTATAGCCATAATATTGTAGCCCCTACCATCGTTAGTGTAGTGGCTACTAGAAATGTAGTGTTGCCAGAGCTGTAGTCGGCCTGGATGAATAATAGTTGGCATTTATCTGGTTAATTCCAGGTGTTCTTACATTGATAGTACCTGCCAGAGAGTTTGATCCTGTTGCAGTTTCGGACAGCTAATTGAGAGCATTACGAGTGTGTATGTGGCTCACCAGCTATTTACTGGTGGTTTCATGGCCAGTGGTGCATGCAGGGGGAAGTGCATACAGTATATACTCATGCTGGGGAATTGCCATATGATCAGTTCTGTCTTTGGTTGGAGTCTTAATCCAGCCTGGCCCCCGGGCATAGGTCTGGTGGAATGCTTCATTAGGCCTCAAGCCTGGAGGAGGCCTTATACTGATTGAGGAGAAGAACCAGTGAAGCTGCTTGAGGTGCCTAGGACTGAATGTACCTCAAGAGCAACTTTGATGTCTCGCCTACCGAAGATCTCATTGCCTATCCCTCTTCAGCTCTTTGCTCAAATACCCAGTATCTGTCTCTTTTTCTCATGATGTCCTAGGTCCTAAACCTCTCTTCCTGAAGTTCTACAGTAAAGTTCCGTCAGCATCATAGCTACAGTCTGGAATCTCAGCTTTATCGGTCGCCACAGAGGGCAGTAAGTGTTATTGGTGCAGCCAAGTTGCTAATACCGTAGACAGCCTATGGACGTACCTGGTTATCCAGTGGCTCCTTCAGGGGTTAGCGCTACAATATTAAGACTATACGGTATATGTGGAGGAGAGTGTTAGAACCTCTGAGTCTGTTGACTACATTTACTCTCCATTTGCCCTCTTGACCCGAGACAGAAAATCCAACATTTTATAGACATCACCAGAGCAAGAGGAGAGGGTAAATCCTCAAATGGAGGCACCTGTTCTAGTGACAAAATGTTCCCTCCATGTTGTAAAGACTTCCTCCCAATACCAGTTGCCTCTCCTGGTCAGGAAGTTTAACTATACATACACTGTAATCCTTGCTCCCTCTAGCACAGATTCCTGTGCCCCAGCTAAAGGTTTGCAAAATCCTACCATTTTCTTTAGAATGCAGCCAGTCCCCTGCCAGCACAGAGAACATTGCAGCGAGGACCCTTGCACCCTATGTGGAAGCAGCAGTCTCTATGCAGAGCATCAACACTCTCTGCACAGTCAGACTTCTAGCTCTGCAGTCAGCAAAGCTCATTCTTCCTGCTGATGGGAGAACTCTGGCTCGGACTCAGCAGGAGGTATCCTGCACCTCACACAGAGCAGAGGTCCCCATCTGTAACATGCTGGCAAGGGACAAGATTTTATACTCCGGAGGCAAAATGTTAAATAAACACTTTTCTGGTTATTTAAAAAAGTTCAGTAGTTTCTCCTTCTCTCCACGCTGTAAGCTGATGCATCTGGGAAAGATTTAAGGGCTTAGATACTTACCCGTAGGTAAACTGTGGGGAACTGAAAAAGAAGAGAAAAAAAATATATGTTTGAGGTATAGCATGATAACAAGTTATGTTAAAAAATATTTTTGGGTTATAACAATATTAACATAGTGGTGATTTAATTAAATCAGCTTTAGAAGGTTGGATCTCAGGAAACATTGAAGTCTATCCATCTCTATAGCCATCTCTATCTATCCATCTATCCATCTCTATAGCCATCTCTATCTATCTATCTATCTATCTATCTATCTATCTATCTATCTATCTATCTATCTATCTATCTATCTATCTATCCATCTATCCATCTCTATAGCCATCTCTATCCATCTATCCATCTCTATCTATCTATCCACCTCTATAGCCATCTCTATCCATCTATATCTATCTATCTATCTATCTATCTATCTATCTATCTATCTATCTATCTATCTATCCATCTCTATAGCCATCTCTATCCATCTCTATAGCCATCTCTATCCATCTATCCATCTCTATAGCCATCTCTATCTATCCATCTCTATAGCCATCTCTATCTATCTATCCATCTATCCATCTCTATAGCCATCTCTATCTATCTATCTATCTATCTATCTATCTATCTATCTATCTATCTATCTATCTATCCATCTCTATAGCCATCTCTATCCATCTATCCAGCTCTATATATCTATCCATCTATCCATCTCTATAGCCATCTCTATCCATCTATCCATCTCTATAGCCATCTCTATCCATCTATTCATCTCTATAGCCATCTCTATAGCCATCTCTATCTATCTATCCATCTATCCATCTCTATCTATCTATCTATCTATCTATCTATCTATCTATCTCTCCATCTCTATAGCCATCTCTATCTATCCATCTCTCCATCTATATAGCCATCTCTATCTATCCATCTCTCCATCTCTATAGCCATCTCTATCCATCTCTCCATCTCTATAGCCATCTCTAGCTATCTATCCATCTCTCCATCTCTATAGCCATCTCTCCAACTCTATAGCCATCTCTATCTATCTATCCATCTCTCCATCTCTATCCATCTCTCCATCTCTATAGCCATCTCTAGCTATCTATCCATCTCTCCATCTCTATAGCCATCTCTCCAACTCTATAGCCATCTCTATCTATCTATCTATCTATCCATCTCTCCATCTCTATAGCCATCTCGCCATCTCTATAGCCATCTCTCCATCTCTTTAGCCATCTCTCCATCTCTATAGCCATCTCTCCATCTCTATAGCCATCTCTCCATCTCTATAGCCATCTCTCCATCTCTATAGCCATCTCTCCA